GCAGAGCGACAATTGCACAAAGCAAAGCAAGAACGCATTGACACTTGAATTAATGCACAAATGAACCTCATGGCGGTACCCCGGGGTTCCATAGTACCCCGGCTCTCGCATAATGTCCGTAATGCAGTTATGTTTAGTCTGTTGATGGTCGGCGATGCGGCAATCGACTCATCTCAACGAGATGTACACGATGCGCTATGGTGCATACCGCGAGCGTTCAGGGTTTCAGCGTAATCGTCCTCGCTGCGTTTCGACATCGCGGAGTAGCACCGATTTCGGATTGATAGGTACCCCAGTCGCGGAGTGAAGTACACCCCTGGGAAAAAATAGTGTCCCAGAAATAAAATATTGAATTGCCTCGGTCATTTTGTATCATTTGGTTACCCGGGGTAGCGCCATAAGGATCAAATGAACACAGCGACCCGAGTTTGATTCCCACTCACGACCAACACCAGTGAAGATTATAATCTGAACCCATCCTGGGCCTCCCCTATGTCGATTCAGCCTCAAGTAAGTGCCTAGCGCGGTGCGTAAACATCGCCACTGGGAACACAAAGGCGGCCGGACGTGGTGCCGTGCCGGCCTTCATAGGTGCGACTCACTAACAGCACTTGCCCCAACAGTCAGTCAAGGCTAGACGGGGGACCTTTGTCTTTGGTGGCACCGCCAGGCCGAGTTTGTGAGTCTCCAGGCTCGTGCGTCACGCAGCCTCTTCTCGACCACAGAGGCTGCATGCCACAGGCTAGACAGGATGATATCTTTGCCGTTTTGTCGTGTCACATTACACCCAGCGCTGCGCATTCTTCCTATAAACCCGATGAACGCGTTCGTAACAATTAATGCCACAGGATGAAGGGGGGGGGGGGTCTGTGCCAAGTTCTCCCTCTGCGCTCTGGACTCTGGTGGTGTGGCCATGGGTCCCAGCACGAACATTCATTCGTGCTGGGACCCATGGCCACACCACACCACGTTTCCTTCCTCCACACAGAAACCTTCCTCCGAGCAGCCCACGTGGCACGCAAGGGATTCCGAGGCACGTTCGTTGACATTGGGGATGGGGGGGGGGGCAAGCAAACACGATCACTTTTTTTTTGCGAATCGGCATCTTTTATTTAGGACAGGAGGATGAGGAATCCGATTAGCCACGTAGCTGTCTTTTTTCTTCTCCTTTTTCTTCTCCTCTCCTCACTGATGTCCCAGCAAGTTGCAATGAACAACAACGCGAAACAGGAGGAGGATTTCTGCGCAAATCTGTCTGTCGCCTGATGAAGCCGGTTGTAATTACTGGCGAAACGTCGTACTCGAATTGTAAATGTTGTGAGTTTACCCTCCAACACACCGGTGTGCTGTACTCGTAACGAATTGGCACGTTCTGTTTACGTGGCATATTACTAATTGGCTGTGTCGGGTGGTGACGGGTTTAACGACACAGTTATATTGACGCGATCTAACCCCCCAAAAACGCCTTATGAGCAACAATGTGCCCCCCCTACCTTTGCTTCTGCCATTCCATCCCCAGTCTCAACTACGCCCGCAAACAACACCGTGGTCATCCCCTCGTTAGTGACCCTTGCACGGAATTATTTGTTGCTGTTTGAGCCTTCGACACATTTAAATGGCAGCATATTTCTACGTACGTGTAATGTGTTTTGCTTATTCAACATGTTTAATATGTTTTAAAGTGTCCTCGATTATCAAACGTTGAATGTTATTTTACATTTTCTTTGTGTCTTTCAGGTAAAGTCACGTCGATAGGTTGAAATAAAATAACAAAGAGCTACGACGTTTCGATCACAACACAAGCGGCCGTGTGGTACTGGGTTGTGCGTCTGTAAGTGGTGTTGTGATCGAAACGTCGTCGTTTTTTGTTATTTTATTTGAACCTATCTACGCGACTCTACCGAAAGAACCAAACAGTATGAATTCTTGCATTCACGAAAGCTTTAAATCAATATTTATTTTACATTCCCAATAATAAAACTTGTGATTTAGAAGTTACGGGGGCGTATTAACTAAGAATGTTGTTGAAAAGTGATTATACACACACACATAATAAAACAACAATTATCATGCCATACCAAAGGGCACTCAACTCTTATCAATAATCACCTCGAGAAATAAGTTTTAGTTTGTTACACAGGGCGTTTCAAAAAGATGCACTCGATCTGAATTCGCTATATCTTCGAATTTGGGTCCATCTTTTCCAAACACCCTGGTGTCTGAGATTCGTAGGCACTCTCTGAACAGACCGAGAACGCAGATGACCTTCCCCACCCGTACCAGCCAGACGCAAGACGAATGATGATAAAGAATCATCCTCGCAGCCTCCCTGCCTCCCTTCCTTGCCTGAGCGAGGTGCGGCACCACGTCCCTCTGCAGAATCGCCGCTCCCCGTGCCAGGCTGACGACGCACAGACCGGCACCGCTCCCCCCACGCCGCGTTTCCTCCCTGACGATGGTGGAGGATGCTCGGGTTTTGGCTGTGCTCACAAAGTTCATCTCGCGTGTTCACGGTGGAAGAGTTGGCTGGGAGTGGTGGTGGTGGGAGGGGTCATGTCATGATTGCGTTATCCCTCGAACGCGATTCGCCCCGTAATGGTGAAGATGAAAGTCCGGCGTTGATTTGTGGCGAGTTATATTTTATATGCTCCGGTAACCAACCAGTGATTCCCTCCCCACGTACTTCCTCAACTCTCGCAATTCCGAACCCTCCCCATGAACAAGTCCTCGGTGTGGACCAATCAACTTCAAGGACAGTGCATATATTATCATAGTTATGTTTTTTGTTTACATTATGGCTGCAAGTATTGTGGTCTATGCAAACATGACTCCTTGTAAAAAAAGGTGTCAGTTTTGTTGCCAGATAGAAGGGTAAAAAAACAATTATCAAGTCCTACAAAGTCACCCCGCAGTGCATCACCGCTCGAGGGGACTGATGTTCGTTCCTCATTCCCGCTGCCACAGCGACCCAAAGGGAGATGATTTGACGGGCAAACCCGACCCAGTGCCACATTGCTCCGTGCATTCCGCCCAGGGCTGTGGCTGAGATAAAAGTTGCAATTTTATGTCATGTCGCTTTTTTTAAAATAATTATACTGTAATGGAGCAAGTGTATGTTACCCCGTAAGCCATGATTGTTCTTCCTTTTTATTGTTACACGCTTTTATTTAACTCACTCTGTTGTTGTTCTTGTCGTTGTTGTATCCTCAAATCTTGTAACTCAATTTTAACCCAATTCCCAATGTGGTATCCACTGCAAACTTGGTATACTTATGTCATACTGATGACGAAACTAAATTCTATCATAAAAATGTTTTAAACCATCTTTTTAATGTTATGTTTCGGCTTGGGCCTAATTGTCCACGGTCAACAGTCCCTTACGTTATGGCAAGCTTCGGGGCCACTTCCTGGAGTCGTGGAGTTCTTCCATTACTAGTACGGTACATTTCATAAAAGCGTGTTTAAAAAAAAAGTTTTAAATATATATTATTAAGGGCAATTTTTTGCACGCATAACGTTTTGTGAAACATGGATATTCACATCAAGTATTGATTTTATGTATTTTTTAAGTGTCAGCTAAAAATTGTGATTTAAAGTTTGGGAACCGTGACATCCGGGTTACAACCGTCCGATTTGCAACGTCTATAATCAGGCCTTCAAAGGCCTTCAATGATCGTTTTACGATGCAGAAACTTCCAAACACGGCTCGGAACACATTTGAACAGCTATGGTTCTACCGTGCAATGTAGTAGAAAGTGAGCGAGGTTTATTTTTCAAAAGCTCAAGCAACTGAAGCAGAGGAAGAAGGCACTTTTTTTAAATAAACATTTATACAAATGTATTTGTCAATTTAAGTAAAACATGTCACGTTCGTTTGACCCCAGAATAAAACAAATTTGATGTGCTGAATAAAAGTGGGTGGTGTGCATAAAGCAAATTTAACACAGCAAAAGAAAGCCATCCACTTTTATTCAGCACATCAAATTTAATAAATTTCTGGGGTCAAAATGTATTTTCTACTTTTGAGTGAAAAAGTGTGTGCATTGAAAAACTCGTGTTTTACCTAATTATTATTTTACCGTGAAAACTATTTTAACTATTTAACGACGAAATCTTTATTTAAAGCTTTCGTTACTGCAGGAATTCATATTCTTTGGGTCTTTCGGTAACGTCACGTAGATAGGTTGAAACGAAAATAACAAACCGATCTACGTGACTTTACCGAAAGACCCAAATCATATTTAACGACTATTTTATTTGACCAGGTAAAGCCCACTGAGCTATGTAGCTCTTTTTCAGAAGCGACCTGGCAAGATAATGGCAACGCCAAACACCGGTTACGCTAATCTATTATCCTTCGGCAAGAGCCAGACATCTTGAGACTTGTGAATCTCCGCTACCAAGTGAACTGGACATTGTCACAACAAAAGATCCCCCGTATAGCCTTAACAGACTGTAGGGGCAAGTGCTGTTAGCGAGCACCTATAAAGGCCGGCACGGCACACGAGGGGGTGGGTGGCCAACACCACGCCCGGCCGCCTTTGTCTCCCTAGTGACGATGTTTACACATCGGACCAGGTACTCATTTGAGGCTGAGTCGACCTAGGGGAGGCCCAGGGCCGGTTCAGATAATCATCACCGGTGTTGGCCGTGAGTGGGAATCGAACCGGGTCACCAGGTTCGTAGCGCAGCACGCTAACCGCACACACACATCCACACACACACTTCAACAACACAAGAGAAAGTTTGTAATCCCAACGTGACTGGTAAACAAACTCATGTTACTGTGTTGACCCGAGTTTCAGTGTGCTACTCACCACTCCACTCACATTTAAGTTCGTGAAATATATCAAATACGAGTAGAAGTAGCACTAGCAGATGTCAGCATCAAACAATGTAAAGGCTGACAATTTAAACCAGGAACTTGTGGCACTGCGTAAAAAAGTATGACCAGGAGGAAGAAATACTGCACAGCAGAACACAATACACGGGCACGGCCATTCAATGTGATGAACACGTTTATTTATAGAGAACTTCATATGCGGAGCCTGGGACCATGACGGCTCCAGGTATGATCACGGCACCTAAAATCTCAAGTCTTGGAAAAGGGGTCATGGCAAGGGTGTGACCCCTCGCCCCACCTACCCTTACCGCTGGTATACAAGGACATCCTGGCCATATAAATATCTAAGAGCCTCCCTATATATATATTATACCAATATTTAAATACAAATCATAGACTGCCTCGTAATATTAAATAAGCAACTTAAACCAACGTGTATGTTAATGTTTTTTCATATGCATTGAGATACACGTAAAATTGCACACACTACGTAGCTTCAAAATATCTCATTTAAATACTGCGATGAAATATAACGTACAATACATGTGCATCGGTGCATGGCACATTTTCTCATTTATCTTCCTAAAGGGTTGCAGTACAAGCTCAGGCACATGCCCAACAATTGCACGGTGATATTTTGCACCGGAAAACTGCTCTGCATCGTACGTTTCAGGGATCTCTGTGCATCTCTGCACGCAAAGACTACGGGGAACAAACAATGGCATGGACACGCTTCATGTGTCTCTACGTATGGTGTAAGTTCTCAAGTTAAACAGCCAGTCCGTCTCCACGTCGCAAAGCCTGTTCCCCAGCGGGTGTCAAGGTGAAATGGTCACCTGTACACATTTAATCGCCACGGCGCGAGTTTGACAGCTTTTTCAAAGCCGCATAGAGAATGTACACCATAACGCCCTTCCTACTGTGCACTAAATTCAGCGTTCCAAAGGTGTCGCACCGTTCTCCACGCCGCTCCAATCGCTCAGATGCCGAGCGCTCCCACAGCAGCGCTACTGTATCGTACACGCTGAAAGAGACCACAACGAACAACACCGAGCGGGTTTAAGTACAGCTGCTGACGTCACAAGTGATGAAAATCTAAAATGTTTTTTATTTTAACTTGAGCATGGTTGGCTACGTTTAGCATGGCCGGCTACGTATGGTGTAATTGCAGTTCTAAGTATATGTACTTGGAATGCTGAGTGCAGATTCACTGTGAATTGTACAACGAGAGCATCAAGTGAAGCTGGGCTCATGGAGTGAATGGCGGCGTAGAACTGCCCATTGTCAGCATAGAAACGGGGTTCGACTTGAACCCTAGAGGTGATTTTGCCGACAGCGAGGAGCTACATTGAGAAGAGCAGAGGGCTGAGGATGGAGCCTCGTGGGCCCCCATCGCACAGTCCTTGCGTGGAGACGGAGGAGGAGCAGTTTGAGAGGGCGGAGCGGAACCAGGAGACGAGTGTCGAAGACTTCTGCGCGGTCACGAAGACGCTCAAAGAGGACTTCTTTAATTCTTTAACGGGAGACTGTGGGGGTAATGTGTTGATTTCACAACAGCCGAGGGATCTCGCGAAATAAACGACATTTCGTGGCATCAGCAACAATAGCCTTGGTGACCTCTGGACCTGAACTCATCTGTCACGGGGGTGGAAGCATGTCTGTGTTACTGGGGAAGCTCGATTCACAATGTACCTGTTCTCACAGAGTCGGAGAGCTCCCCTGCTTCCAGAGCAGTGTCCTTCGACTCCCGCATCTAGAATTAAACAAATCACAAATCAGTGACAAAGCTTTGTTCCATTTAACACTGTAGCTCTTACAGGTCCCATAGCTTTAGCATTGGTCGTAAACATTTTCTCTGCGCATGCATTACTGTCCGGAGTGGAGCACGTGTACCCCATGCTGCAGACACAATGAAAACAAATTAACGTAAGTCCTCCTCGTGTAACGCGTGCTCACACAACGCGTTTTCGCTACAACGCGGTTCTTCCACTTGGCAACACTTTTCGCACAGCGCGGAATGCGTCCGTTACAACGTGGACCGGGCGCACCGCGTTACAACGCAGTTTCTGAGAGGTTGTCTCGACCACACAGTGTCGAAAACATTGACTATAAAAGCACAACTCAAAATGCAAACGCATTTGTAAAGCAATTAAAATAGAATTAAATCGTATATTTTGAAAGGAACTTATTATTATCATTCTTTTGCATACCTTTACACATATATGTCTGGCTGTACGTATGTATGCACATCGCTGTGCATCAATGTCTTACAAGTATTAGTCACAGTTATACACAAAAAAAGACGCAACACTGGTGGAGAGCTGCACCTTATTGTCTTGTTTGATGCGCTCAGCCCTGCTCATGACATTCTGAATCTGGTGATGAAAAGACATCTGTTGTTCGAAGCTGATAAACAACACACACCATCTGCTCTGGATGGAAACGCACATGAGACCGAACAATTGTGAATTTGCGATTTGTTACGGAAGAAACATGATTCGCCTATCAAGCTTTGTGATATCTACCAAACAGCAGTTGTTTATACGTCTTTACTGACACTCTTACACGGCACAGATGTTTTTTGCCCCAATTTCTATCTGCTTCATCGCTGCACTTTATTTTATTTGTTTTTCTCTTTGTCATTTTCATGACCCAGGTCACTCGTGCAAGTGAGATTATAATCCTGGGCTCTTAAGTTCCTCACTCGGTTAAAAACATTAACTAAACTTGACTTGAGAGCTACAATTCTGTTGCAAGATTTACCTCCGAGTGAAGGAGCTGCTTTCTTCTGCCTTCCTGTTCAGCTGTAAAAAGAGATTACCTGGTTACTGGGATACAATGACCGTTTTGTAGAATTGGGTAATTAATAAAACATTTTGACAAAACACACGAAGACCCGAAGTCCTCGCTATGAGTGTCAATCTCTTAAGGGTGGTACCTGAGATGATTCACATTTAACCCTGGGAAAATGTATTTTTTGCGACGAGATTGGTTTGTTAAAATCACCGTACAAGTTACCTCGTGAAAATACACTTATACAATCACGAGCAATTAGTTAAAACTTGTTCTAATTACTAAATTGTTACTAAATCAAAACCAAGTAAATAAAGGTCATTAGGTCACGTATATAAATAGTACTCCAGGAGAATAGCAGGGTTTGCATTAGGATGCTCCTATCTGCATTGCGTATCACAATGCAGATAGGAGGAGGCCTCTTCTCCCGTAAATATGTTATATTATCAACTGCTTTTAAAATGTTTGTTATTGTCCTTCCCCGTACCTCCGATTGGCACGGTTGGCTAAGTACAGTTGCAAAAGAATTTCAATGTACATATGTACATTTGCAATTCCTTATCAACACTCCAATAGTGCGATAAAGCGTAGCGACGCTAGGTGCACTAAGACGAGCGAGCGACTAGACAAGCGCTCCCTGTGCTGCGCACTGCCCTGCCACACCACACGCTGCCCCTCCACACGCTCCCCGTGCCACGCACTGCCCTGCCACGCACTGCTCCTCCACATGCTCCCCGTGCCACGCACTGCCCTGCCACATGCTGCCCCGTGCAGCCCTCACCTGCCAGCATGAGGATGAGCTCCCCCAGCGCCTCCTGGTAGAGCTCCAGCACCGGCTCGGCACCGTCCTCCTCCTGCGGGCCAACGCACGGGCTTCAGCATTCGCCGGCCTGCCCTCCCTTAACCAGAGTTAACCGGGGGGTGGGGGGTACTACACAGCCTTATGCAATGCGCTCTCAATGTTACACGAATTAAGAGTGTTAATCGAGTGGAGGAAGGTTTCACGTATGGATCTGTGACAACCGCTATTGATGAACAGTGCCCAGTGTTGGCTTTGAAAGCGTATTCAAGGCGGTCAAAACTAATTGGCTCTGTCTGCCTCTTGTGATCTTTGTATTTCTTTGGTGATGTTCAGGGAGGCGTGGGTGGCTTACGAGCCACGTGTTCCCGATTTTCCAAACAAAATGACAATCGAGCTTGGATATGTAAATCATGGCAGACCAAATTGTTAGTTTAGGTAAATAAAAGCCTGAAATGTGTCATTCATTGTGTGAGGAAACACTTGTAAAAAAAAAGAGATGATTATCTACAGGACCTTTTTGCCATTATCAAAAATTATGAAAAAAATTGGTTTTACCCTTTTTAGCAATAAAAAAGGTGTGAAGATATTCAAACACCAAACAGTAAATTTTATAAGAAATCAAGTCAGCATTAACCACACATAGTTGTGGCAAAACATGCAAAAAAAATTCTCCGATTATACAAAATGACAATTATATCATACAAAATCCCACGGTTACAGTACAAATAAAAAGTTATTTTTTTCATTGGACATGCCATTTCTACCCAGATAATGCGCAGCCCTCCGTGGACGCGAGTTCGAGACGCAACAATCCGACATCACGCAATGTGTGATGCTGAAAGCGACGGGACAATGGGTGACTGCAGAACACAGAGCCACGGCAAGAGCAATGGTCCACCTACCAGTGTGACGGCTTGCTGTGCCAGCTGGAGGGCCTTGTGGAGGCGGGGCTTGTCTTTCGACATTTCTGAGAGCAGAATCATACTACATTTAATCCATCGGCCGTTCACTCACGAAGGACAATGCCCATTAGGCGCTGAACGCGGGTTACGCCCACGCCAAAAACCCTCCGGCGAACATTCGCCGACCTTGACGCCTGTGGCAGAGCACCTGGAATGCACTCGATCCGGTCAGACCTGGAGGAAGCTATGTAAGGTTTGAGTCTGCGTGGTGCTTGCGGATGGTGACCACCGTGCACTTGAGAGATCCACAGCACGCCTACTTAAATTGTCATGCGGCGGCGCAAGCATTTAGAGCGCCGATTGTTCTCGTTTGAGCTCACAGCGGTGAGCCGAACAACAATCCTCACAAACCAAATTTATCGGCGATTAAGATACGCAGCGTTTCTTTTGCAAGTACATCAAAAGCAGGCATCTTCGGGACAACATTCGGGAAGTCGGAATAACATTCGGTCAAAACTATTGTAAGGCCCAATCAGGTCAAAATATTGTCTACGAAAGTCTACGGGTTAAGTTCGCCAAAGGGATGTTTTCTTAAAATGAAGCAGGCATTGCTCGGCATGTGTAAGGCGCCGCAGTGGCGAGATGTTAACTACCTCGCCGGGTACACAGGAGGTTGTGGGTCCGATCACAACCCTGGTCGCGTAGATTTTTCTCCGGGTACTCCGATTTTTCCTTCCACATTTAGAATGAACGTGCGTTTAGAGTATTTGGACTGCTATAAATTTCCACATGATAAGCCACTTTGTCGAGCTATAATTTCTGAAAGAGAGCTACAAAGCTGAGTGGGCCTTACCTGATAAGTTAATAATAGTTAATAGTAAACGAGAGAGCGCACGGTGCGACGTCGTGGAAACAAGTACCCAGCAGGATCTCGCGGGAGGTGCATGCCCGCACGCAGGTCTCCTGGAAGTTGCACCTCAGCATCACCTTGAGCTCCTCGGCCCGCGCGATGTACTGAGTGACCTACGGGACGAGACGACGACAATGACGACGAGCCGGGGATGCCGTCGTCCAACGGCTGTCAACGTTTGAAGAAGTCAACCATGAGATGACAGCAAACGACGGCAAGTTGTCATTCACCGTTAAGGCCGTGCCAGCACGCAAATTGTGGAGCGGCCCTCGCACGAATTTAACTGAAAGGAAAACAATTTTCGTGCTCAAATGAGCATTGAGACGGTGCTCATTTCACGTTCACAGCCCTGATCCACGTTCCTACGGCAGGAACGAGTATGTAGATAAGAAACCTACTGTTGACTTCCCCAGAGTGGCACTCATTGTAATGATTACGGAGGCATGGTGTGTGTCTGTATGTTGAACTTCTTCTGCCACCGCATGTAGCGAGGCATTATAGGGCGTCTTCTTCGTTGGCTACCTCGGCCGTGTCCACTCGGCTTGCTTCGCTGATCACATGGTCTGAGCTTACGGGCACATTGTCCTTGGCTGCTGGACAAAATGTTCACGGATTCGAGTGCCCCCGTTTCTTGGCCAAGTGTGGTCACCCTTGAACTTTGTTTGCAAGCTATCCACCTTTGTTAGAGTCATCATGTTCGTACTCAACCCGCCTAACCGATTCTTTATAGCACCCCACCCCCAGTCCCCCCCGAAGCAGATTCCACAAACTCACATTTGTATTTACAAGTGCAGCTACAGAATGGAGTCCCGTGTACGGTATATACGCTCGTGTTATTACGCAGTGGTGATTCGTGACTGCGGGGACACTGGGCCGTCGTGGTTCCTCCACTCCCAATGTGCGCGGACAGCAGTGGCAGCTCAACGCACCCGTTGCCTCCTCCGGTCGTGCCGAGATCACCCGGCGTGCCACGGCACTGCTGCGGGGGCCCAGTGGCTTTGGGAGTTGTGCTACATTGGGGCTCGCGAAACTTTGGCCCTGTAACTATCAACCTCAGACCACTCCTGCTCATGACACTGCTACTCCCCGCGACGACGGAGCCACCCTCCTGCGACGAATAGCCCTGGGAACTGAGGCAGAGAAACGCCGTGTCGGCTGTGCCGCTGCAGCAGCGTGCACGGCCACAGGGGAGAAGTCATTCGCGCCCTGAGAACGATTGTTTAAGGGCGCTTTATACATTTTCATTATTATTATCGTGAGCCGGAGGACACCGACCTTTTTCCTCACCGCTTCCTTCCGTCGGCAGTCAGTTTCATCTGCAATCGAAAGGTGACAACATCTCAGCTTTTGAGTCCATTCACGGAGCCAATGCTTTGGCTTCACAATAAAGCTGTTCCCACGTTCAGAGCCACTTGGAAGATCTCAGAAGCTAAGCAGGTTAGTGCTTGTATGGGTGAAGACCATGCATAACAGGCATTATAGGCTTCGGGGCTATGTGGTGGGGAGCAGATTGTAGTGCAGAAATGTTAGTTGTTGCGCTGTGCTTCTATGCTAACCACCTTTTACAGCTCACACCGACCAGTGACATGAAGTTTTGTTACATAGCCTCCTCGACTTACGTGACATGGGGGGCCCTCATCCAGCATTGGATTGGAAAGAAACACGTGTTAATATGGACAGGCTAACAGCTCCCGGTTGTTTGCGAGAGAAAATGTAACTCAATGTTTATTTTTAAAACACGGAAAAATCCCGTTTAGCTAAGTCACCCAGCCAGTTTGCAAGGGAGATCTGTCATGCATCGTCACGGGAACAACAGCAAAGTGATCCGTACAGAGGAACAGGCGGCAACGTCGGAACACAACGGAGGCCAAAAACGTACAACATAAACAATACGACACCGGCAAACTGCACCGAACACGAGGGGGAGAGGCAGTGAGCGGTTGTAGAGGGGCGAGCGCGTGGCGAAGCGAACGCGGCGGATCGAGGGGAATGCAGGTGACCCCCGACCCCCCCGCCCGCCCCCCACCGCTTTCACGACCATTCTTATCGTAAGACCCCCACAGTAATAACCACCTAACGACTGCTACCGACGCCGAGGTGACGAGTCTGTGCGTGACGCGGGCAGACTCGTCGCCTTCCGCCGTATGTACAGTGTAGCCCGACGGTCTGCAGCTGCGCCCGGAGCGAACGCATTGTCTCTTCCGTAGCGTTCCTCATTGTTTGTCAATTTTCTTCATTTTTTTTTATGTTTTCGCCTCTCATTACGTCTGAGAAGAGGAAATGTGATGTGCATGCAAAAAAGTGCTTAAGGATTTTCAAATGTAAGTGTTTGTTCTTACTTAATAAATGTTTGTAAAAGCTAAGGAGGCTCTTTTTTGTCACGAACGATTTAAAACGGTGGAGAGAGGATAGGGAACCGAGCCTGAGCTCTGGGAGGCAAGGGGGATCGCTCTCTCTCTCTCTCTCGCGCAGAGAGAAAGAGAGGGCGATTCAGAGGCACCAGGAGGAGAAGGAGCTACAGACAAGCGAGGGAAGGCAGCCTAAGCGGTGAGGAGCCGGCACCAACAACCGTCCAAGCTCTGCAGTCCTCTACATATTAATGTGTTCTCGGGCAATAGAAGAGGTTTTACCCGTAGGACGGCAAGATGGCGAGTGCTTAGTCGGTCCTTTGGTGTGGCCACTTACAGTGCAGTGCGGGTATGAAGAACTCTAGGGACTGGCAGTAGAGGTTTAGGGCGCCTTGCAAGTCTCCCTTCTGGTCTTTCTGCACCGCTTCCGTCACCAGGGAAACCTGCGGACACACGGCCCGCGTGAGCACGCCGCGAGCACTAATAGTCATTATATCAACTTGCAACACGCGCAGTGTTCGCTCACTCTCTCAAAGGGAGAACGGATTCAAGAGGCCCCAGGAGCAGCTGCAGACCAGCGGGAAGGCAGCCGAAGCGGTGAGGACCCGGCACCAACAATTGTCCAAGCTCTGCATTCCTCTATATATCGAGGTGTTATCGGCCAATTTAACGATTGTTAACACGTGGCAGGAAACCGCAGCACCCGAAGAAACCTCACGTGTGAGAGGGAGCAACACTCTATTCCATTCAGACGGAATTGTTAACAGTGAGTACCTAGGGCTCATCTTAGCATCTACCTGGGAAGAAAGCTTTCTGTACACACCCTTTGTTTGATAGACACTCGCATCCATAGGCGTTTTATATTGTTTTTTTCACCCCAGTAATGATATTCTCCATTAAAACCTTTGTATCATTATCATTTGAAGCTTCCACGGTGACGGTGCTATCATGCATAGCTGTGATCCAGAGATAGAAAGCTTGGAAGAAAATCCACATTAGCATTTGGCCACCCTGGGTGTTACCAAATGGTTGTTTTGTTGGGCTCGTGGCTCAAGGACCGTTGAAGCGGTGGCGGTGGTGGCGGTGGACTCACTGCCATCTCCAGGCTGCTGGCGCTGGGCATGTGCTCCAGGTCGAGGAACGGGTGCGAGAAGAACTCCTCAAACGAGATGCGGCGCTCGGGGTCGCGCACCAGCAGCCGCTCCAGCAGGTCGCGGCACGCGGGCGACACGTGCACGCCGGGCGGCAGCTGCTCCACACCAAAGGCAAAGGGCCCCCAGTATAGCCTTAACAAACAGTAGGGCCAAGTGCCGTTAGCGAGCACCTGTAAATGCCGGCACGGCGCACGAGGGGGTGGAGTGGACAGCACCACGCCCCAAACGCTTTTGCCTCCCGAATGCCGATGTTTACGCACCTTACCAGGTACTTATTTGAAGCCGAGTCGATCTAGGGGAGCCCCAGGACCAGTTGATATAATCGTCACCGGTGTTGGCCGTGAGCGCGAATCGAACTTGGGTCGTCGGGTTAGTAAAGGCAGTGCATTAACCACTACACTACCGCACCCCAACACACAAAAAGACTCCCCGTGTAGCCTTAACAGACTGTTGGGGCAAATGCAGTTAGTGAGCACCTAGTGAAGGCACAAGAAGGCGTGGGTGGCCAGCACGACGCCCGGCCGACTTTGCCTCTCCAGTGGCGATGTTTATACACCGCACCTGGTACTCATTTGAGGCCGAGTCGACTTAGGGGAGGCCCAGGACCGGTTCAGATAAAAGTCACTGGTGTTGGCTGTGAGCAGGAATCGAACTCGGGTTGCAAGGTTTGTAGCGCAGTGCGCTAACCGCTGCACTACCACTCCCCACAACACACACACACTCTGCAACACACACATACACACACAGCGTGACACAAGGTTAAGCTGAACACAGCACATGTATCCTGTGTGTCTATTCAGCACTGGCCCAGAAACGCCAGCAGCGATGAACACTGCGTCACTCCTGTCTGAGCCAGGGGGGGGGGGGGGGGGGGGCCCACTGTGACTTGATTCTGACTTTTGCTTTACATTCTCACACGACACACGCTTGAGCTACTGGGGTCAATTTGTCAGCGTACAACAAGGCGGCACTTGTGAACACAGCGTACCTCGATTGGGCGATCGCTCTTGATTTTCTCCTCCAGCTCGGTGAAGGAGCGCGAGGCGAAGGGTGGCTCCCCAAAGATCGCTTCTGCAAGACACAAGAGCCAGGGTGAGCCCTCGCCCACCCCAACAACAATTCCATTTGCATCATGGCCACGGCATTCTCTGTTCAAATCCCAATGCTTTCTGTAAATGACGAGAAGCCCCATCGTAGCGGGAGATGCATGCAGGCTGGTGTGCTGCTCACAAACTCCCATCATGCCTTGCGTGCATGTCATGTGACACCCACATTGCAATGCTCTCAGCCTAGTCTGTGCCACCAGACGAGGCGGTAACTATTTTATCGACCCTGGAATGAAGATTGGCAGAGCCAATTCCCAATCTGGATTTGAACTCGCAAGCTTCCAATTGGTACGCTCCACCGCTGAGCCACTTTGGCTCAGATAGGAGATGTGAACGCTCAATTGCCACGAGCAGGTTTCTGTTTGAATGTTGCGAGTGTTGTTTATGGTGGCTCACGGCCGGACTCTGGCCCCACCGTACCGGCCTTGTGAACGCCCACTCCGCCAGCGCCGTCTAGACCAGCACGGTAACACGGTAACACAGTTAACCCGCCCATACTGGAGATCTGTGAAAGACAGCTTCGTAATCTCCTCAGATTCCTCCAGTTCAAATAAAGATTCTGATTCTGAATCCCAGCCTGGGGGGAAACGCGGTCATCATCCCACAATTTAATACCACTTAGTACGCAGACATCGCTAACTGCCCCGTGGGAGGTCAGACTCGTCCCTGCCATAGGAATTAAAACATTCAAATATTTACATTTGTTTTAAAAATAAATGTCTTGCAAAGCGAGCGGAGGACAAGACATACACCGTGGTGTGCTCACACACCGCAAGCGATAACACGAACTCTTGCATCAGAGCGTGGCCATCACGGACTACTGCTGGCACCATCGCCGATCGCCAGGCACGGGTTCTACCGATTAACCGGGATATCACCGGAACGCAGTGGCAAGCCGTGCAAAAGGACGCACCGTACAGAATGATGCCCACAGACCACAGGTCGGCTTTGGCATCGTACTGGCCTCGGCAAACCATCTCGGGCGCCATGTAGAGCGGCGAGCCGCGGAGTGAGCGGCAATCGTCCTCCAGCACCATGTACTGGGCAAAGCCGAAGTCTGCGGAAAGGCACGCAGCGTCATTCACACTCGCAGATCGTTCCCGCTTTATCACATGCAGGATCGCCACCTGGCCTGCATTAAAAAAAAAATACACATTTTATTAAGTTCTTGTCTATAGTGTATTCTCTTTTGATTAATTTATCTCAGCATCTGCTGTAAAAAAAAAACTTGGTAGGAACCTCCTGAAACAGGTGTACTGAGACTCAGTGAGGCTCTTCTGGCTACTAAAGCATGACGATAAAACAATAACAGGTGGTGGGCTACTGCAAGCACACTGAGCTAGAAGGTATGCGCGTCAACTCAAGATGATGACGTGATGGAGAAGGCGATGGCATCAACGGGAATGGTCCCGACAGCCGTACCTGCCACTTTGAGAGTCGGGTGGCTGCAGGAAGTGAGCAGAATGTTTTGGGGCTTCAGATCCAGGTGGGATATTTTGCGCTCGTAGAGATGCTGCAAGGCTGAAGCTGCCACGGAAAATGTCACAATCAGGCACATACACAAAACACAAAAGCTGGGTCTAAGGTGAGAGAGACATTGTGACCAGTGCCGACAACGCTGCCAGATCCCAAATGTTGCATAATTCGCATCTGTACTACAATGAAATGCAATTGTTTCTATTATTTTTGCCTGCTTATCTCAATAATTGGTATTGTTATAACTCGGTCTGTCATGTCTTTCATTTGGCTTTTAACGTCTTTAATTAAGCCTGCATCTTCTCTTGTTCTTCCAAGTGTGTTTCAATCACTCGATTTGCCTTCCTCGAGTTTTGCAAGAGCTTAGACCTCACCGCAAAGTCCATCTGAAGCTACTGTAGCGGCACTCTTACGAGTCTTCAACTTCGCCCCGTCAAAGAATCCACCTGCAACTCTGAATCGTTTATCTCCCCCGATTGGTATGAGTCGTAACTTTTTGGCACTCCACCACCGCCCCTCCAGTGAAGGTTTCCTGGCTTGCTTGGGAAGTTTGGATTGTGGTCTGGGATGTGTAGTAGACCTTATGGACCGACGTTTTTGTTGTGGAAAGTGTTGTTGTTTGTGCTTTTTGTTTTGGTGCCGATTCTTAATTTCTTTTATTCATTTTAGATTTTCCCTGGTAGTAGGGTTTTCATTTGCTTGGCAGTGGCTGTACATGGGATTTGGTCCTTATATATATGATTGTCAGCATTATGGGAGGCTATTAGCATGAATGACGCCGTATGAAATGAAAGTATTATTATTAGCTTAACGCTTAACATCTGCAACTAAAAGCTTATAATCTGAATCCTTGACCACAGCCCCATGCAGAGCTTCAAATACCTAGCAGCTTAAATATATATTGATTTAATTTAGCTTGTTGACCCAGAAAAGCCTCGCTGAGTCTCAAAACCTTTTCAGGAGGGTCCTGCCAAGTGTTTCAAAGTATGGGATGATGTTGCTGCTGTTGCTTCTGCTGTGTAATCCCGATTGAGTGTTCCCAGGTAATATTTCAGCATTGGGATGTTTGGCCAATGGCGGTTACATTGTATGGTTGTTTAGTTATGGGAGTAAATCACATACCTGTCAATCCCTTATCAGTGCCCTACCTTATTACAGACCAATTCAGACCTTATTGGTCACCCCGTGCTACTTATAAATCTCAACGTTCATCCTAAAAAGTCCCGTCACAAGGGAGAACCACAAATAGACGATAAAAAAATGTTTGGCCGTATTGAAACGGCTGTACGCCGTATGGACCTGAAAACTCTATTTCCTTGTACAAAGATACGGGTAAACCGTATGGGTTGACAGCGATGAAATCAGAGCAGCTGAAGGAAACCAATTGAGACCAGAGGGGAAATACACAACCCCCCCCACCCCCAACGAGTCCGGAATTGAACCTGGGCCGTTCCTGCTGTGGGCTACAAGTGTGACCACCGCGGTACCCTGCCGCCCCATGAAGAAGTAACGTTCAGACGAAGGAACGGTCAAGCGTGGCGGTGCATGTACCACTCTCAAGGGAGCGTAGTTACCCATCCTCCCTGTGTAGGTGCGCTCTTTTCACTGCGGAATTTCTCGCTCCTGCCACTGCCGGAGGAAAAGCCTGCGAGAGCTCTAAGGGGGCATTTGGTCTACTCTTCCACGCTGACCACATTACCCCCACCCACACGCTACCTGCCGATCGACTGTGGTGAAGCCATTAGTAACGCTGGGTGAACGTAGGTGGTGGGTGGGGGGGAGGAATTGTGGAAACTGTTGGGCCGGGAGATGGAATTGAACGGATGGCCTCTGGATTGCAAGTTCAGTGTTAACGATGATACCGCTCTGGCGCGGCTCCCTTCGTTGCTCAGTTAAAAGGTGAAACCACCGTGTTTGTTGCTCGACATTCTAGACGTGCGGTAAACCGGAAACCGGTTTAAACCGGTTTCCTCGTTTGGTTTGCGGCAATGTGAAAAAAAAAGTGACGATTTCAACGACCCTGGTGCGCACCCAGCTGCTGCAGGAAGCGGCGCACGGCTTTCTCCGGGAGGCGGCGTCGGCTGCGGATGAAGCGGGAGAGGTCGCCCCCCCCGCAGAACTCCATGATGAGGTAGATGTTCTCATGGTCCCACTGCGAGACACACGGCGTGCGGGTGCACACAACGCCACGGTGGCGAGATTGTTAAATACCTCGCCTGGTATACAGAAGGTCGTGGGTTCTATCCCGACCCTAACGCCCGTATATTTGGAGTTCGCGTGTCTCTCTCTCCCCGTGGTCGCGTGGATTTTTCTCTGGGTCCTCCGGGTTTTGCCTCCACATTTAGAAACGTGCGTTTAGAGTATTTGGCTGCGATCAATTTCCACGTGAGAAGCCACTTCGTTGAGATATCATTTGTGGCCAGGTCGCTTCTGTAATGGAGCTATATAGCTCAGTGGGCCTTACCTGGTAAAATAAAAAATAGTTTAGTTATCGGAAACAGAACCTTGATTTAGACTTAAGGAGGAATTAGACTGAAGGAGGAATCCGATGAGCTATGAAGCTCTCCTTCACAGATGTCCAATCGGGACACGGTGTCAGCAGGTTACAACAACAAACAATGCAAAACAATGATAGGAGTGTAAAGTAGAGAAAAGATGAGCAAGTGGCACCACGTGCAACCCACAACAACACCGGGGAGCCACCCGGCGCTCATCTACACCGGTACCACCGAGGTGGAAATTCCACAGTCCCACGGCAGGTGGCCCGGCGATAGAACAAGCGGCTCACAATCAAAAGGTTGCGCAGTCAAATCCTACTTGGGGGAATGGTTGAATTGACCATCATACCTCTGGGGTCAATAAAACGAGTATCACTTTGTACGGATGGTAAACCGAGTTGACCATTTAAAATAAATGTACATACATACACAGAGACCCACAGACACCTGTACCCAGACACCCAGACCCATAGAGACTCACAGAGAGCCACAGAGAGACCTAGAAAGACACCCACAGAGACCCACAGATTAGCACGGTTGGCTTACGTACGGTGCGAAGGGACTTCAACATACATACGTTATCCATAATACATGATACACAAGTTACATCCGTGGCGGAGTCGCGCGCGGCGCACCTGGAAGTCCTTGAGTTCCACGATGTGTGGGTGGCGCACGCTCTTCAGGATCTCTATCTCGGTGAGCAAGTTCTCCGTGGAGCTGCGCGTCAAACTCTTCTTGGAAATGCACTTCACGGCCACCACCTCCCGACTGTTAGTCTAGTGATGGGGGACAGCACAAAGGGGGCGGAGGCAGCCCGGAGACAAAGCCGAGTTACTGAAAGAGACGGCGAGTTTAACAAACAAAAAAAGTTGAGCAAATGTCGGAATACAAAACCCAGGAATAGTTACAGATCTTGTGGCCAAGGCATGATCCATGTATTCCACATTAGTGTACCATAGCTATTTGTCAATTGGCCATTTGCCATTCGATATTAAGCAAATAGAGCACGCATCCATATTGTTTACAATATAAAGTGAATTAGGAGAGAATGCTATGGTTTTATGAATTTAACATCAAACAGTGTTATTTGTATCCTTGCTTTAAATAATATAAACCAGTACAGACAGAGGGCTAAGTTCAGATGAGGCTGATGACATCAATTATCTTCATTGACAGATGCACGAGCTAAGAAGGGCACGGAAGCAATTCTTGACCATACTTGAGGATTTCCACGGTCGCTTTGTGTTGCATGCATGCGTGTATGTTGAACTTCTTTTGCGTACATAGCCAACACGTGCTCAATCGGAGGTGCGGTCTGGACGTGTCACAAGACCAGACCGGCGTTATCATGTTGCAGTCATTGACAGCGATTACTTCATCTGTTAGCAAGTGCACATTTCAGTTTCATCAAGTGGGCAGCATTGACAGTACTAGTTTCATCAGGGCGCAGCCCAGCAAGCAGTTCCCAAATTGTTACTGGCAGAACTCAAAGCCTTAAATGTGTAGAGACAGGGCGCCGTTGTGGTGAGATGTTAACTACCTCGCCTGGGATGCAGGAGGTCGTGGGTTCGATCCCGACCCTGACGCCTGCTGTATAATTGGAGGTTGCATGTCTATCTCCCTATGGTCACGTGGATTTTTCTCCGGGTCCTCTGGTTTTTCCCTCCACATTAAGAAGCAACATGCATTTCGAGTATAAGCTCTCAATTTCCACACAATGATAAGCCACTTCGTTGAGCTATCATTTGTGATAGCCAGGTCGCTCCTGAAAAAATATCTAAATATAGCTCAGTGGGCCTTACCTGGTAAAATAAAACATAGTTTAGTTTAGGTTACTATGCTGACACCGCGTGAGCTTGTGGACACACGTCAACATCTTGATATTACAAACAGACGAGGGTCAGCTTTACCGTGAAAATGTAAAACATTTTTTTTTACATGTTTTTACATTTAGTCCGTCAAGATATGGGGGGCTTATTATCCATTGATTTCTAAGCAGCATATGTTAAAGAAGTCAAACACCGGATCGGTTGAGTATGGCCCATGCAGCCCAGCTCTGACCTGTACATCCACATGGACATTAACTCACCTGTCAAACACCCTATAGAGATACAGTTGACCACTACGGTACACTTGGTTACACGCCTGGAGTTGCTATGTTTCAGACTCTGAACAGGACTCAATACGGACATACAATCTCCCATACAATAATAATAGTGTAACTTAATACAGCGCCATTCATGCTAAAAGCATCCCATAACACCACTACCATCACCGTCCACAGAGCCCTGACACAAACACGGCCCTGACACACACACACACAGCCCTGACACACACGTACAGCTCTGACACACAGAGCCCTGACACACACACACAGCCCTGACACACACACACAGAGCCCTGACACACACACAGCCCTGACACACAGCCCTGACACACACACACGTATAGCCCTTACACACACACAGTACTGACACACACACACAGAGCCCTGACACACACACACAGCCCTGACACACACAGCCCTGACACACACAGCCCTGACACACACAGCCATGACACACACACACAGCCCTGACACACACGTACAGCTCTGACACACACAGCCTTGACACACACACGTATAGCTCTTACACACACAGTACTGACGCACACACGAGCCTGACACACAAATAGGTCTGACACACACACAGACATGCCTGACACAGAGCCCTGACACACAGCACTGGCACACTCCAGGCCTGACACACACAGGTCAGAGACAGCTTTGACACACACTCACACTACAGGCCTTGACACACGGCACGGCACAGATATAATATAAGACCAGCCGTGAGGCGACGGGCGAGCAGTGCGAGCGGGTGGTGGTGGTGGTGTAGCCTGGCCACCTTGCTGTAGCCCCGGTAGACCGTGGCGTGGCTGCCCGAGCCCAGCCGCTCGGTGAGCACCAACCCGGGCAGCCGCGGCGGGGCCAGCGCAGACATCGCGGGGCCTGCGGGGTGGGTCACGTGACGCGCGGCGGAGCGGGTCACGTGACCCGCCGGGTGGTTGAGCTCCGTCAAGGCTGAGCGGAAACTGCCCCTCCCCCTCCTCCCCCCTCCTCTCCCCCCATTCTCCCCCATTCTCCCCCTCCTCCCCCCTCCTCCCCTCCTCCCCCCCTCCTCCCCCCCCTCCTCCCCCCTCCTCCCCCCCTCCTCCCCCTCCTCTCCCACCCTCCTCCCCCCTCCTCCCCCTCCTCCCCCCTCCTCCCCCCTCCTCCCCCCCCTTCTCCTCCCTTCTCCCCCCCCCTTCTCCTCCCTTCTCCCCCCCCCTCCTCCCCCCTCCTCCCCCTCCTCCTCCCCCCCTCCTCCCCCCTCCTCCCCCTCCTCACCCCCCTCCTCCCCCCCCTCCTCCCCCCTTCTCCTCTCTTCTCCCCCTTCCCCCTTCTCCTCCTCCCCCCCCTCTCCCCCTCCTCCCCCCTCCTCCCCCTCCTCCCCCCCTTCTCCTCCCTTCTCCCCCCCCTCTCCCCCCCATTCCCCCCCTCCTCCCCCCTCCTTCCCCCTCCTTCCCCCCTCCTCCCCCCTCCTTCCCCCTCCTTCCCCCTTTCTTCCCCCCTCTCCCCCCTACTCCCCAATTCTTCTCCCCCCGGCCCCCTTCCCCCCACCGCTTTCCCACCTGTCACGTGGGGAGGGAGAGGTTCGGCTCCAGAGGTTGGAGGAGGTGCCGGGAAAATGTCAGCATCGGAATATTTATTCATACTGGAGGAGAAATCCAATGAGCTCTGACGCTCTTTTTTCGCTGATGTCCAATAGGGGCACGGGGTCAGAACTGCGGGTTGCTTGACCCGACGCTTCTGTAGCTCATAGGATTTCTGCAGCATAAATAACGATTCTGATTCTGACAGGACAAATGGGTGATCGTGCAGCTGCTGCTGCTGCTGCACTCTAGCGTCGTCGGACTCGCTCCCCCACCCACCGTCACTCGCCCAGGCTGAACCCACCCACCCGAGACGGGGGCTCACAGGGATCGGGGTGCGCTGCGGGTGGCTATGGGGCTTAGAGGCGAGGCGCCCGCTTGGTGCGAGAGAGGCCCCGAGACGCCTGGGATCACACAAGTAAAGCCTGGGCGATATTATAAACTTTTGGCAACCCCAGCTACTCCCGTGACTAAGGGACGCGTTGACTCACACTCAGCGGGCTCCCACCACAGCTGTTTTGTTTGTTGATAGAGAATGCGCGTGTCTGTCTGCCTGGCTCTTTGTGAACGTTCCCGTACTGAGCATACCATGGCTTCTTAACACGTCCACGTGAAAACTCCATTCAGGGGCCGTCCATAAATGACGCCACGCATCTAGGGGGGGGGGGGTTGAGAAATGTGTGGTCACATCAAAATGAGCAACTTTAAATAAATATAGAATGATATTCTTGGTTCTTTCGGTAAAATTTCGATCTTTCGGTAAAGTCACGTAGAAGGGAAATATTTGTATTATTTTATTATTTTCCTTCTACGTGACTTTACCGAAAGAACCAAGAATATGAATCCCTGCAGGTCACGAAAGCTTTAAATAAAAAAATATAGAATTGTTATAACAACACTAATTGTTATAACAACACTCCTACAACATCAGAGTGCAGCACCACATTAAATACGCACTACAATGACAATAGTTTAAAGCGATTTTAAGCATGTTTTATTTTGGGGGGGGGGGGCAGAGCATTGTGACGTCATATTTGAGGGGGGTCTGACTTTTTGTGACGCCATATGACTGGGGGGGGGGGGGGTCAAAAATCGTCCAAAATCGCGTGACGTCATTTATGGACGACCCCAGAGACAATCTTCCACGGCGAATGACTGTCCTTTGACACGGGGCATCCATGCATCACCGCCGAGAGAAACTTGCCAAGATGCGGTGGGCGCGACAGAGACACGGGCTCGCATTTTTGGTTTGTGCCGCATCCGCTACTGGTCCGACCTGTCGCTGCATATTCGGCGGAGAAGCCCCGGGGGTGACCACGTCGCTTGGGCTGGGTGGGTGTGCCACCTGACCCAGATGCGTTAAGAGCCCTTTCCCCGGCCACACAGCGCAGACATTTTCCGAGGAAGCGACAGAGGTGAGTTCCACGTCTGCCGACACCTAATCGCTTTGTGCATGGCCGTTGGCCCGGTCACCGCCTTATCGCTCCTTTATCGCTGCTGCCAGCGTGGCTGTTGTGGTTTCCGTAAACTTAACTCGTTTATTCGTTCACCCACAGTTACAGATATGCCACGCGTATTCTGTCGACACTTATCAGACAAACGTGCTCATCCACATGTTTACATTATTGTGCGTCGCTTGCCTACGTGAATACATCAAAGTTTGTGTGTATACACCGTTTTGGAAGGGGCGGTAGTGTAGCGGTTAGCGCTACGTTGTGCTACGAACCCGGCGACTCGAGTTCATGGTCAACACCAGTGACGATTATCTGAACCGGTCCTGGGTCTCCCCTAGGTCGGCTCCGTCTCAAATGAGTAGCTGGTGCGATGTGTAAACGTCGCCGCCGGGAAGACAAAGGCGGTCGGGCGAGGTGTTGGCTACCCACCCCCTCGTGTGCCGTGTCGGCCTTTATAGGTGCTACTCGCTATCAGCACTTGCCCCAACAGTCTGTTACAGGCTACACGGAGGGGTTTTTGTCTTTGTCATATACAGTTGTGAAATCTATGAACGCTAAGCACGGTAACGATTTGCCTTTTAAATTCCACACTGTGGCACGCAGCGGACAAACACACAAGCGCAGAAACATGGCCCAACCCAAACTGGACGGAATCATTAAAGACATCGTATTGGTGTTCAACGCCTACTCTTCCGAGTCTGACGACGCGACCACGCTCAGCAAAGAGGAGCTTGGGGAATTAATGCGCTCTGAGCTTCCTGGATTCCTGGTACCGTATTCACACACGCACAGCTTGCCACCGCAATTGTCTCTGGGTTTAATAATAATTTCATTTTATAGAGCGTAAGTTATGCAATTGCATCCCACAATGCTGCACATCAAGTATCCAGTTCTGTACAAAAAAATAAACTCCACTAATTAGCAAGCAAATAAAAAAAGAATACATAAATAACGAGAAAAAATGCATCGCAGAGAACATAATTTAAGGAAACAAGACTGCCGGACACTACTTCACGGAGAGACGGCTGCGCAGTTGGGCTCGGAATGAATGTGAGAGGAAGAAAAGTCACGCACAAAATAATTTGAGACATCTTTCAGAGGCACCCAATTGGAAAATAGCAGTGAGTTGAGGGCCGACCGAGATCAAACTTCTTAACAGATGGATGAGAGCGGGTTTCTGTGCTTTCTGAAAGCTAAATTTGATCATGAAAATAAAGACATCGACGCTACGACGAAGAGATTTTTAATCAGTGCATATCCAAACTCCAGATGATCCAAAATATCGCTGCCAGACTCTTCAATGGCACCCGCAAATAAACCAACATCGCCCCAGCATTCGGCTCATTCCATTGATTCCTAATCCAATCCTGGTTTAATGTCAGGATCACACTCATCACTGCTTTCCTCTCATTTCACTCTACTCCCCTCCATGCGCTCTCCTCTTCAGCAACCAGAGCTTTCTGTAAAAGCTCCCAGTCAACCCTTGATCAAGTAAGAAGCCGCTGATTCTCTCTCTCTCTCTGCTGCCCACACAAGTCTGAATTTTCCTTCACCCAGCCACCTGTGATGTGGACTCCTCGCCCCGGTTTAAAGTTCAAGACTTTCTGTTTTCTCAGCCTGTCACCACTCCTCTACAAAATAAATACGCGCAGTCTCTGTGCAATGTGCTGATGTGTGGTCGCATTTATCCGTTATGCAAATACACATTGCATAAGTATAGTACGCAAATATTCTTAGGCTTGCTCGGAGCATGGGAAGACATGGCCAAGAGAGAAAGAGAGTTCAACAATCTGAATATCTGAATCCTGACCACCACGAGCTCAGACTGCGCCAGCCTGGACCCAAGGGCCAGTGCGTTTCAGCCTCTCTGCGACTACGCACAGAGGCTCCCGTGGGTCTAAACGGCTCCTGGACTCCGTGGACTTGCAGCCCATGTAGTGCTGCAGCCTCTCCACATGAGCATGAGCCGGAGGCGCGGGCGAGGTGCGGTGACGCATGAGCCGCCTCCTCAAGCCGCACCTGCCCAGGCAAGTCGCAGCGGGGAGTGAGGCTCACGTTACTTTCAGTACGTCTGTCCAACGTATGGGTTTGTCCCGTACCATACACGCAGCATCTCGTCAAATCGTATATTTATACAGCGAACGCCTTAGGGGCCGTCCATAAATGATGTCACGCACCTGGTGTGGGGGGGGGGGTCAGATATATGTGACGATGGGGGTGGGGGGGGATTGAGAAATGTGACGTCACATCAAAATGCGCACCTTTAAATAAATATAGACAACACGTTCTACTTAATGAAATAGACTTTTTAATACATGTTTTCTCCTACAACATCAGAGTGCAGCGCCACATTAAATACGCACTGCAATGACAATAGTTTAAAGCTATTTGAAGCATGTTTTCTTTTTTTGGGGTGGGGCAGAGCTTTGTGACGTCATATTTGAGGGGGGGTCTGTTTTTGTGACGCCGTGTGACGAAGGGGGGGGGGGGGTCAAAAATCGTCCAAAATCGCGTGACGTCATTTATGGACGGCCCATTAGCTCGAGGAGCTTGACGTCGCTTGCAAAACGGCGCCGCAGAACGGAATGATGGAGTCGCAAGGGGGCGTACTAGGATTGGGGAATGTGTGACAGCGATCGAGGGGTACGTGAGGGTCACGAAAGGGTAGGGGCGGGACGGGAATAAGCGAAGGGGCCAGGGGAGCGAAGAGGTGAGGCTTTAAGAGAGGTGGCGAGCTGTTAACTACCTCGTGGGTTCAATCCCGACCCTGACGGCTGCTGGAAATTTGTAGTTCGCGTCTCTCTCTCCCGGCCAGCGCAGACGAAGATGACTCGGATGTGGGTGGTTTCGTGCCGCTCACTGGACTTGCAATCCAGAGGATTTGATTTCCCACCGGTGGGACAGGTGAAACAATGGGCACGTTTCTCAACCCCCCCCCACCGGCCACCTCTGTCTGCCCAGCAATACAAATAATACACGGCAGTCGATAGTCATAGGACGCAATGTGGTGGGGTAAAATGTGGGTACGCCCACCTCCCAACACACACGTGACGTGCGGTCAACGTAGAAGAGCACTTTGTTGTCACTAACCCCCGCGCACCTCCGATGAGTACGGTTGGCTACGTACGGTGCGAAAGAAGTTCAACGTACGTGCGGCGCATGTCAATGAGCCTCTCGTTTGCGCCCTGGCAGGAGGCCCCATCGGCCAGGCATTTGGTGCGAGCGAGCAATTGCAGGGCTGCACCTTTAACCTTGCGTGTGTAACGTCACGCGGATCGCCTGCAGGGTTGTTGTTGTTGTTGTTTGCTCAATTGGGGCTCCACCCAATCCAACGCAGCAACGTAAAGTGGAGAGGCACGGATAACGAAACACTTCAACGCGTTTGTCAATAACACTGTGGTCGTTAGTGGAAATACAGGGTGCTTCAAAAAAATGTTAACGCTTACACGGGACTATCGTTTTTAATGGCAAATAGAACGGATAATAGACTATAGCGTGATAACAAATGTGATGTTAACAGCTTCAAAAGGTCAAAGAGTCTCTACTTGTTCGCCATCATCGTCAACGCGTGCCTGGAATCTTCTCCAAGTGGTCTCCAGGTGCCCGGAGGCAGAACATGTTTTTTAGCAAATTCTTAGAAGTATTAGAACATTTTGAAGCACCCTGTTTATATACAGTACGGGGAATACGAATAAGTTGGACTCTTTCCGGCAATAAAACAGTATGTGTTAAGATGTTCAAACTAAAGTCTGCATTAACCACACACACGGCACCAGTGGTGAACATGCAAACAAAACACGCTCTGATAATAGTAATATATGGGCATTGTATTTGGGGCCGTCCATAAATGACGTCACGCACCTAGGGGGGGGGGGGGTCAGACATTTGTGACGATGTGTGACGAGGGGAGGGGGGGGTTTGAGAAATGTGACGTCACATCAAAATGCGCAACTTTAAATAAATATAGACAACACGTTGTAGTTAATTAAATATAATTTTTTTTATAAATGTTTTCTCTTACAACATCAGAGTGCAGCGGCACATTAAATACACACTACAATGACAATAGTTTAAAGCGATTTTAAGCATGTTTTATTTTGGGGGGGGGGGCTAGAGCTTTGTGACGTCATATTTGCGGGGGGGCTGCCTTTTTGTGAAGCCGTGTAATGAGGAGGGGGGGGGGTCAAACATCGTCCAAAATCGCGTGACGTCATTTATGGACGCCCCCTTTGAAACCGATTGGCCTACACCAGGGACAGCAGCCTTCTTTATGGCCCAGTCTCACCAGGTGTCAGTAGACCAGAGAACGCCAAAAATGTTAACGAAGCCCCCTCCCACGTATATATTCTCCACGACGACACCCACGCTTATCTTGTGTTATAGTATTATATCATGGTTGCGTCGACCTTATAGATAGGCTCTTTGCCCATACCATCGTTCAGTTCACCAGCATTGATTTAGAGTAAGCCTGACTGCCGAAGAGACACAGCATGTCGAAACCGGTCCCGGGTTTGCTCACTGGCAATCACGCACTTCCAGAAGGCGTCTGAAGCACATCATCTGCTGTATCTTTATATTGTTGTTTAGAATCAGCTCGAACCGGGGATGCTGGACCAGTTGATGCAGGACCTCGACACGGACGAGGACGGCCAAGTGAACTTCCAGGAGTTCATGTCCTTGTTGAGCATCATCACCATCCAGTGCGACGAGGAATACATGAAGCTCAAGCAGAAGAAGAAGGGGGGGCGATCCTGAGAATTCGCGTGCCCAAGAGCGCGACCCATGCCCCGTGCTCCCCCCCCGTGCCCCCCCTCACCTGTTCAGGCGCATGCTGTGTTCATGGTTACACAGGGGTTTGGGTTATGTTGTCATTTGTTGTTGCAATAATCATGTCTACTGCACGCACGACACGTGGTTGTTTTAATCTTATATTTGGTTAGTGATCTGCAAAGAGTTCGCACTCTACAGAAATTGTGCAATCCATACGGCTACGTGTTTCAATGTCGGGGTAATTAACAACTGGGCGGTGTTCGTCTTACATTTGGCATAATTGTTACGTTAAAGATATCCTCACGTGTGTATCCTTCGGCGTCACGTGCTCACCCAGACGTCGTCACGATGGCTGATGCGGTTCGACCACAGGCATTCGACGACCCTCGTGATTCAATGTACTCAGGCACTCCTCTACTTACGAACGAGTTAGGTACCAGAGGTCTGTTCGTAAGTTGTATTGTTCGCAAGTCCAACTTTGCTCCTGTCGATTCAAAACACGTTAGACAGGATGTACACTAAACGCGGGGAATGGTTTTAAAAGTTGTATAATCTCCTGTAGACGTAGATGCCACTGGTTCTTCATGTTCTGCAGATGCCACCATCGCCATCTATTGCGTGGCGGTTGAACTTACGGCTCTCGTTATCTCTGAAAGTTCGTAAGTCGAATGTTCCTAAGCAGAGGAGTCCCTGTATTGTCGTTTTTGCACTGATTACATCGCTTAACAACATCTCTGCTGTCTTACCTTGTCATCATTCAAACGCATGAAGTTCAACCGGGAGATCCAGCTGTGGTGAAGGCGGAAATGGAGTGATAATTTTCCTTGGTAACTCCTCGACGACCAGACGAGAATCCACTTTCTCTCATGACTCAACTGCTTGGACGTGCGCGAAATTCCGCATAACTGTTGTGGCTGTGGCAGTGCGCCCACAACTTCCCACCGTGAAGCGGCTGACGACACCGTTGACGCACGGGGCATTCATCAGTCAGGAGTCGGTGGGTAGAGAAATATGGGCGCCAGGAGATGTTAACTACCTCGCCTGGTATTACAGGAGGTCGTGGGTTTAATACGTGGGCTTTCGCGACTAATATCCATAATATCGGTTTTTTTTCGGTTAGATCGCGTAAATATAAATGTGTCGTTAAACCCGCCACCACCCGACACAGCTAATTGGCAAGGTTTGTCACGTGAACAAAACGTGCCAATTGTTGCTAGTACAGCACACCGGTGTGTTGGAGAGTAAACCCACAACATTGTGTGCTGTACGAGTAAGGAATTGGCGTGTTATGTTTACGTGACAAACCTTACTAATTGGCTGTATTGGGTGGTGGAGGGTTTAACGACACATTGATATTTACGGGATCTAACACCAAAAACCTCTATTATAGGAGGTCGTGAGTTCGATCCCGACCCTGGAGTTGGCGTTTCTCTCTCTCCCCGTAGTGGCGTGGGTTCTTCTCCAGGCCCTCCGGTTTCCCCCCGTCCACATTGAAAAACCAACGTGCGTTTTAGAGAATTTGGCTGCAATTAATGTCCACGTGATGATAAGTCACTTCGTCCAGCTATCATCTGTCCAGCTAACGAGAGCCACGTCGCAGCGGAGTGGGCCTCACCTCGTAAATTAAAAAGTACGGCTTAGTTTGTTTAATATAGTTTTACTTGAACAAATATGCCTACGGGTTAAACCTTACTGAGTAATACTCTTAGGTTTTTTCGGTAAAGTCACGTGGGTAAGAAAGAAAAAGAATAAAAATAACAATAGAAATAAAATAATAAATCACGACGTTTCGGAGGCAGGTGGGACCATGTGTTGTTCGGAGACTTGTGTTGCCTCCGAAACGTCGTGATTTATTATTTTATTTCTATTATTAGTTATATTCTTTTAATGAGTTATATGTTATTGATCCATCTATTTATTTATTTATTTCCCCCCTACGTGACTTTACCGAAAAAAACCTAAGGGTATGAATCCTTGCAGTCACGAAAGCTTCAAATCTAGAACCTACTGAGTAAGTCTGCTGACTTATACAACGTGCCTTAATAAACGCGGGCAATGCGGGCTCTGTCTGGCTAGCGAGGTGCGGGGTTATTGGCTGTCACGAAGGCTGATAACCCACACAGACTTTGAACTAGACTCGATGCGCCTTGTGGGCGCAGGGCAGCCGTGAGTTGCCGTGCGAGCACCCGATATCACCTTTGCACTGACACCTTTGAACTCGACGTTTGACATTCGCCCCGGCTGAATGTTGGCAGTTAATACATTAATGACTGCCAAATACCAATTACAATTCTCCGCGTAGCCATTAGTGAGAAATTTGGCACGAGACGCCACAAGTGCAAAGTCCATGCTGTACACAAATCCTCAGCATAGAATATTCCCAAATCTGAAACACATTTTACATTTCACAAAATGTTCGCCGATCGAGAAGGGGTTCGCGTCATGTGATGGATCTTTGGCTTTCCTTTGCAGACTTCTAAGCCTGCGACTGTGTATTCACAAACACAAGGAATGTTGAGAGTAGAAAACAGTAGGACGAAACAGCAGATGGGGGACCTGGGGTGAACAGGGGATTCCGGTTTGTTGTAAAGGTCTTTGGCTGGAGCCACGCATGTGTTGGTAGTCTTGGGCACAAAGGTTGGACACTGGAGCCACAAGAAAAACACTTGAGGACGGTGAATGAGAGCAGTTAGAAACGGGGCTCCTATAGTTGGACAACAAGTGTCGCTAGTAGGATCGCATTTCCCAGTAGAGTCTGTGGGTCTCTGTGTGGTGAATCTATGGGTCTCTGTGTGGTGAGTCTATGGGTCTCTGTGTGGTGAGTCTATGGGTCTCTGTGTGATGAGTCTATGGGTCTCTGTGTGGTGAGTCTGTGGGTATCTGTGTGGTGAGTCTGTGGGTCTCTGTGTGGTGAATCTATGGGTCTCTGTGTGGTGAGTCTGTGGGTCTCTGTGTGGTGAGTCTATGGGTCTCTGTGTGGTGAGTCTGTGGGTCTCTGTCTGGTGAATCTATGGGTGTCTGTGTGGTGAGTCTATGGGTCTCTGTGTGATGAGTCTATGGGTCTCTGTGTGGTGAGTCTATGGGTCTCTGTGTGGTGAGTCTGTGGGTCTCTGTCTGGTGAGTCTATGGGTCTCTGTGTGGTAAGTCTATGGGTCTCTGTGTGAGTCTATGGGTCTCTGTGGGGTGAGTTTGTGGGCCTCTATGTGGTGAGTCTATGGGTCTCTATGTGGTGAGTCTGTGGGTCTCTGTGTGGTGAGTCTATGGGTCTCTATGTGGTGAGTCTGTGGGTCTCTGTGTGGTGAGTCTATGGGTCTCTGTGTGGTGAGTCTATGGGTCTCTATGTGGTGAGTCTGTGGGTCTCTGTGTGGTGAGTCTATGGGTCTCTGTGTGGTGAGTCTGTGGGTCTCTGTGTGGTGAGTCTATGGGTCTCTGTGTGGTGAGTCTATGGGTCTCTGTGTGGTGAGTCTATGGGTCTCTGTGTGGTGAGTCTATGGGTCTCTGTGTGGTGAGTATATGGGTCTCTGTGTGGTGAGTCTATGGGTCTCTGTGTGATGAGTCTATGGGTCTCTGTGTGGTGAGTCTATGGGTCTCTGTGTGGTGAGTCTATGGGTCTCTATGTGGTGAGTCTGTGGGTCTCTGTGTGGTGAGTCTATGGGTCTCTGTGTGGTGAGTCTGTGGGTCTCTGTGTGGTGAGTCTATGGGTCTCTGTGTGGTGAGTCTGTGGGTCTCTATGTGGTGAGTCTGTGGGTCTCTGTGTGGTGAGTCTGTGGGTCTCTGTGTGGTGAGTCTATGGGTCTCTGTGTGGTGAGTCTGTGGGTCTCTGTGTGGTGAGTCTGTGGGTCTCTGTGTGGTGAGTCTGTGGGTCTCTATGTGGTGAGTCTGTGGGTCTCTGTGTGGTGAATCTATGGGTCTCTGTGTGGTGAGTCTGTGGGTCTCTGTGTGGTGAGTCTATGGGTCTCTGTGTGGTGAGTCTGTGGGTCTCTGTCTGGTGAATCTATGGGTGTCTGTGTGGTGAGTCTATGGGTCTCTGTGTGATGAGTCTATGGGTCTCTGTGTGGTGAGTCTATGGGTCTCTGTGTGGTGAGTCTGTGGGTCTCTGTCTGGTGAGTCTATGGGTCTCTGTGTGGTAAGTCTATGGGTCTCTGTGTGAGTCTATGGGTCTCTGTGGGGTGAGTTTGTGGGCCTCTATGTGGTGAGTCTATGGGTCTCTATGTGGTGAGTCTGTGGGTCTCTGTGTGGTGAGTCTATGGGTCTCTATGTGGTGAGTCTGTGGGTCTCTGTGTGGTGAGTCTATGGGTCTCTGTGTGGTGAGTCTATGGGTCTCTATGTGGTGAGTCTGTGGGTCTCTGTGTGGTGAGTCTATGGGTCTCTGTGTGGTGAGTCTGTGGGTCTCTGTGTGGTGAGTCTATGGGTCTCTGTGTGGTGAGTCTATGGGTCTCTGTGTGGTGAGTCTATGGGTCTCTGTGTGGTGAGTCTATGGGTCTCTGTGTGGTGAGTATATGGGTCTCTGTGTGGTGAGTCTATGGGTCTCTGTGTGATGAGTCTATGGGTCTCTGTGTGGTGAGTCTATGGGTCTCTGTGTGGTGAGTCTATGGGTCTCTATGTGGTGAGTCTGTGGGTCTCTGTGTGGTGAGTCTATGGGTCTCTGTGTGGTGAGTCTGTGGGTCTCTGTGTGGTGAGTCTATGGGTCTCTGTGTGGTGAGTCTATGGGTCTCTGTGTGGTGAGTCTATGGGTCTCTGTGTGATGAGTCTATGGGTCTCTGTGTGGTGAGTCTGTGGGTCTCTTTGTGGTGAGTCTGTGGGTCTCTGTGTGGTGAGTCTGTGGGTCTCTGTGTGGAGAGTCTGTGGGTCTCTGTGTGGTGAGTCTGTGGGTCTCTGTGTGGTGAGTCTGTGGGTCTCTGTGTGGTGAGTCTATGGGTCTCTGTGTGGTGAGTCTGTGGGTCTCTGTGTGGTGAATCTATGGGTCTCTGCGTGGTGAGTCTATGGGTCTCTGTGTGGTGAGTCTGTGGGTCTCTGTGTGGTGAGTCTGTGGGTCTCTGTGTGGTGAGTCTGTGGGTATCTGTGTGGTGAGTCTGTGGGTCTCTGTGTGATGAGTCTATGGGTCTCTGTGTGGTGAGTCTGTGGGTCTCTGTGTGGTGAGTCTATGGGTCTCTGTGTGGTGAGTCTATGGGTCTCTGTGTGGTGAGTCTGTAGGTCTCTGTGTGGTGAGTCTGTGGGTCTCTGTGTGGTGAGTCTAAGACTATCAGGGCAGATCTCGGAGGTCGCTGCTTGTCTCCCGCGCGGCAACTGCGCGCATCTGGCGGAGGTAGAAAGAAAGGCGCTGGCGGTGACGTACCCTGCTGTCAACAAAAGGCCCTTTCGGTCACGGTGACATCTCGATTCGCGAAAGCCGACTCGGGCGACGTGCAAGCGAGTTCACTGTTAAAACTTTTTTTTGTTACAAGCTCACTAGGACACACACAGGCAGGCATGCACAACCAAATTTCACTTTCGTTATCAGCAGTTCCGGATTATCCCAGCAGCACAAGTAGCTACACGTGTAGGAGCTACGGGCCCCGCACTTTCAAAGGCCCGCCCGAAATGCTTTCAAGCTATCAGTTCTGGTTCAGTGATTCTGCACTTGCTCTATTACTATAGTACTATACCGCCTTCAACTTTTATGAGCGACTGGTGTTTACGATTAGCGATTTGTGGTATTATATGGCTGTATAGCAAATGCAACAATACAATTACTTTACTATGCGAGTTAAAAATGTATGTGTTTTAATATTTCAGTTTTTTCAAATGTAGGGCCCCTTAATAACATCATGCTACAGGCCCCGCACTAGCTTAATCAGGAACTGTTTCTAAGGGATGGGGGGCGGGAGAGGGGAGACGGAAAACCCCCTGCCCCCCCCGCCACGGGGAAGACCTCCCAGCAGAGGGCAGCAGTAACAACCCACAACCCAGAGCAGCGGGTGGGAGTCGTGGCGCAATCGGCGAGTTAGGAGAGCGTGGCTCGGACCTCCCCCCCCCCCCCCCCGTGCGTTACAGGGGTGGAATAAAAGTGGCCGTTTTGAGTCAACGGACGCGCCCGATAGAGCTCCATTGCACGAGAGAGCCAGAGAGTGAGAGCCAGAGAGAGAGAGAGCCGCCTCTGCTGCTGCTGCTGCTACCGCTGCCGCTACTCACCGTGAGTCACCTCGAGTCACACCTGGACGTGCGCGCCACCCCCACCCACGGGCACGCGCACGTGCCGGACTGCACGGGGAACGGTTGCGTCGCGTTGTGCCGCGGGGTGCGCCCCCCCCCCCCGCTCCTGACGTGCGTCTCGTGTCACGGCGTCGATCTTCATTCATCCACCCCCGGTCGTTACCGCCCCCCACGCCCGCGCTCCCCATCACCACCACCTTCACCACCTTCATCACCACCCAGCAGCGTTGGGAGTGCGGGGCGCAGCGGGGCAGTCGTACAAAACAGAAGCGCCAATCGGCTCTGCCCATTCACTACCCCCGGCACTCGCCCTCGACTCGACTCACCCTAGACTCACCCTCCACTCACCTCACCCTCCACTCACCCTCCACTCACCTCACCCTCCACCCAACCTCCACTCACCTCACCCTCGACTCGACTCACCCTAAACTCACCCTCCACCAACTCACCCTCACCTCACCCTCCACCCAACCTCCCATTCAGCACGCACAGCGTGCTGCTGCTGCTGAGACTACTCAAGTGACCACCGGTAAGGGCACGTGTGTGGCTCACAGGCGCTGTTGTTGTAGAGTGTCGCTGTTGTAGTTTACTGCTGTTGTAGTTTCCTGGGTTCACAAACGTAACTCTCGCTGCTGCTGCTGGGGGCTGGCGTTCCGTCAGTCGAGTCGTGTGGGATGTGTCTCGTACGGGAATTCACATTCCCTCGTGTTGATGAAGCCAGACTCTGCAGAGTGTTTGAGTGCGGCTCGGGTACAGTGTTGGACTCGCGTTTAACACGAGGCGTGCGTGGATCTGTTCCCCCCCCCCACACACACATGGAACGTTTTAAATGCAGAGGCCATTGTAGTTTCGCTCCATCATCATCATCACCGCCACTACCGAGAAGAACCCGAGGGCATTAGAATGAGTTCCCCATTGTGTCAAGTCCAGATTTGGTACCTCGACTAAGGGACTGCCTTCCTCCAGAGGAACGTGGAATGTCCACCACTGAAGCCTGTCCCCAGCTGTGTACCCATCTGGACTGTCAGTTCCCACCGATGTAGGAGGAGCTGCTGCGAGAGACAGCGGCCTGGGCAAGGGGCTGGCGGGGTTCGGGCTCCAGAATCAGTCACTTCGGGACGCTCCGCTGGTGCTCGTGGCCGCGGACGTCTGTGGCTTGACCCGCCTGGACGTCAAAGTAGCTGTCGATCAACATCGGCAAGAAGGAGTTGATTGCAATCTCGGCCGTGTCCCCTTTCTTTGGCTGTCGCTCCCGTCATTATTCGCCCCGACCTCCGGCTATCGTCATTTCTAGACGTGCCCCCCCCCCCCCTCCTGCCCAATGCCAGCGGGCTCCTCTGATTTCATTTGAAACATTCCTGAACATTCACCATCGCCAGCTCAAAGTAGCGCCTCTGTGCCAGTTATTATTGCCCAGGGGCAGCCGCGACAACGAGCCAAAAGCCACCGTAGGCTCCAACTTCAAGCAGGTGGCAGGATAGACCCCCCCCCACCACCACCTCCCCTAGCTGTGACAACTTATACGTGACTCAATCTTGATCGAGAGTGTCGGAAGCGGTGACTCGCCATGAACCCACAGGGGGCTATCAGCCCCTTCATCACTTATCCTGCACGGTATCCGTACCGCAGCCTGTGCCACCACGTGCTACTGCTGCTGCTGTCTGTGTGGCTCTTCCTCGACGCGGCCGCAAGGCCCGAGAAGAGTCGCGTGGTGACCCCAGCCACGGACTCCCGGGGAGGGAACAAACGCCTGTGTGTGTAGGGGCTGTGTGTGTAGGCTGTGTGTGTGTAGGGGCTGTGTGTGTGTAGGAGCTGTGTGTGTGTAGGGCTGTGTGTAGGGGCTGTGTGTGTGTAGGAGCTATGTGTGTGTAGGAGCTGTGTGTGTAGGACTGTGTGTAGGGGCTGTGTGTGTGTAGGGGCTGTGTGTGTAGGAGCTGTGTGTGTGTGTAGGGCTGTGTGTAGGGGCTGTGTGTGTGTAGGAGCTATGTGTGTGTAGGAGCTGTGTGTGTAGGACTGTGTGTAGGGGCTGTGTGTGTGTAGGAGCTGTGTGTGTGTGTGTAGGGCTGTGTGTAGGGGCTGTGTGTGTGTATGCTGTGTGTGTGTAGGAGCTGTGTGTGTGTAGGGCTGTGTGTGTGTAGGGCTGTGTGTGTAGGACTGTGTGTAGGGCTGTGTGTGTAGGCTGTGTGTGTGGGGCTGTGTGTGTGTAGGAGCTGTGTGTGTGTAGGGCTGTGTGTGTAGGACTGTGTGTAGGGATGTGTGTGTATGTGAGGTTTTGTGTGTGGGGCTGTGTGTGTGTGGGGCTGTGTGTGTGTAGGGGCTGTGTGTGTGTGGGGCTGTGTGTGTGTGGGGCTGTGTGTGTGTAGGCTGTGTGTGTGTGTGGAGCTGTGTGTGTGTAGGGGCTGTGTGTGTGTGGGGCTGTGTGTGTAGGTTGTGTGTGTGTGTAGGGGCTGTGTGTGTAGGGGCTGTGTGTGTGTGTGTAGGGCTGTCTGTGTGTCTGGCTGTGTGTGTAGGGGCTGTGTGTGTAGGGGCTGTGTGTGTGTGGCTGTGTGTGTAGGGGCTGTGGCTGTGTGTAGGCTGTGTGTGTGTGACGTTTTGTGTGTGTGTGGGGCTGTGTGTTTGTGGGGCTGTGTGTATGTGAGGCTTTGTGTGTGTGTGGGGCTGTGTGTCTGGCTGTGTGTGTAGCGGCTGTGTGTAGGGGCTGTGTGTGTGTGTAGGGGTTGTGTGTGTAGGGGCTGTGTGTGTATGGGGCTGTGTGTATGGGGTTGTGTGTGGCTGGCTGTGACTGCGTGTGACTGACCGTGGCTGTGTGTGTATGGGGCTGTGTGTATGGGGCTGTGTGTGGCTGGCTGTGACTGCGTGTGACTGACCGTGGCTGTGTGTGTATGGGGCTGTGTGTATGGGGCTGTGTGTGGCTGGCTGTGACTGCGTGTGACTGACCGTGGCTGTGTGTGTATGGGGCTGTGACTGCGTGTGGCTGGCCGTGGCTGTGTGTGTAGGGGCTGTGACTGCGTGTAGGCTGTGTGTGTGTAGGGGCTGTGTGTGTGTGTGTGGGGCTGTGTGTAGAGCTGTGTGTGTGTGGCTGTGTGTATGGGGCTGTGACTGCGTGTGGCTGTGTGTGTAGGGGCTGTGTGTGTGTGGCTGTGTGTATGGGGCTGTGTGTGTATGGGGCTGTGACTGCGTGTGGCGTGTGGCTGGCCGTGGCTGCTGTGCCTGTTGAGTGTAGCGGCCTTGCCGCACAGGAATGTTGCGCTCTGGGTACAAAGGGCCCCTTCTGTCTGGGTATTGGCGCTGGCGAGCGGGAAGGCTGCGCGCGTGGGGGGCGTGGGGTGCGTGGGGGGTGTGCGCGTCCTGGTCACTGGCGCAATTGCCAGAACTCGCAAACCCGCAGAAGCGGTACCTGAGGCTCGACCAGCCCGGGTAGTCTCGTAGGGGGGGGGGGGGGGCTTTCACACTGTGCCAGCAGCAACTGCGTAGCAGTGAGCGGGGGGGGGGGTGAGATCAGCCGCGCATGGAGCCGTGAAGAAGAACACGTGGCGCGGGAAGAACACGTGGCGCGTTCCGGGGTTCAGCGGACGAGGGCGGTGCGTGGGCGCGGCGCGCTGCGGAACTGAGTCGGTCGAGCACGGAGGCATCAAATGACGGCCGCGTGAAGCGGGTTCGTCACGTCGGCCTCAATTCTGGTTGCCCCGGGCGCGCGCTTGTCCCCCAGATGCGGAGTTGCGGAACGGGGATTGAGAGACTTGAGTGAGATTCGATCGATTCCACGCACCGCCCCGTGCTGGATCCAGCGCTCCGAACAACCCGCAGCAGCTCAATTCCCTCCACGCTCGGCCTCCTGCGGGAAGCCACTGCCCTGACTCAGGGTCACCTCGTCTCGTGCGTGACCTCGCCGCAGTTCAGGGACTCCGCAGCAAGCAGTGGACCCCCGTGTGCGTGCTCGCAGGCTGCATCTGCACGGCAGCTCACTCGCTCCCTCCTTTCTCTTTAGGGAGCGGTGGTGCTCGTGTTAGCAGCTGTAATGGAATGGGGGCGGAGGGGGCACAGCACCCCCGTTACGCGTTGTCCTGCGCACCCTCGTGTTCTTCTGTCTTCACTAAAAAAATATTTTCAATAAATTAGTTTTCTAGATTGAAAACTCACTTCTTTAGAACTGATGTGTGTGTTTAGTTTATTGTCCTTGCCCCGCGCCCTTCGATGAGCACGGTTGGCTACGTACGGCGCGACAGACGTTCACAACACCGTACATGCATCCCCACCCGGTTCACTCGACACAAGCAGCGTGCTGCCTTCTCCAAGCGGCTCACTCCAATTTTGAGCGATTGGCCTCGAGCCAGGAAGTTGTCCGGGATTCAGGTGGCAACCCTGGAGGCAAGGCTCGCTGCTGTGTGTGTGTGGGTGGGGTGTGGGTGGGGTGGTGTGTGTGTTGGGTGTAGGTGGCGTGCAGCATGGTCGAGTGAAGCCGAGCTTGCGTGTCAGCTGTTTGGTGACACAGACACCTTGACAGCATGGGTTGTGCGTTGCAGAATTGACCGACGTGCACATTTTTTTTTCCAAAACCAAGTTTCCTGTTACTTGAGTCGAGTATTTTTAGTTGTAAAATACAACAAGTGGACAAAATTTGTGTGATGGAGTGGAGGAGAATATTTCGACGAATCTTGTGGAGTGGACGGTGTGTGTGTGTACCGTGTGTGTGTGTGTGTACCAGAGGTGGGACAAAGTCATTGTTATGCAAGTCCAAGTCGAGTCTGAAGTCATCAAATTCATGACTCGAGTCTGACTCGAGTCCAAGTCACATGACTCGAGTCCACACCTCAGAGGTGGGACAAAGTCATTGTTATGCAAGTCCAAGTCGAGTCTGAAGTCATCAAATTCATGACTCGAGTCTGACTCGAGTCCAAGTCACATGACTCGAGTCCACACCTCTGGTGTGTACCGTGTGTGTGTGTATGTAATGTGTGTATGTAGTGTGTGTGTATGTAGTGTGTGTGTGTATGTAGTGTGTTTGTGTATGTATGTAGTGTGTGTGTGAATGTAGTGTGTGTATGTAGTGTGTGTGTATGTACCGTGTGTGTGTATGTAGTGTGTGTGTATGTACCGTGTGTGTGTGTATGTAGTGTGTGTGTATGTAGTCTGTGTGTGTGTATGTACCGTGTGTGTGTATGTAGTGTGTGTGTATGTATCGTGTGTGTGTGTATGTAGTGTGTGTGTATGTAGTGTGTGTGTGTGTATGTACCGTGTGTGTGTATGTAGAGTTTGTGTATGTAGTGTGTGTGTATGTATTATGTGTGTATGTAGTGTGTGTGTATGTAGTGTGTGTGTGTATGTAGTGTGTGTATGTACCGTGTGTGTGTATGTAGTGTGTGTGTATGTAGTGTGTGTGTATGTACCGTGTGTGTGTATGTAGTGTGTGTGTACGTAGTGTGTGTGTATGTAGTGTGTGTGTATGTAGTGTGTGTGTATGTAGTGTGTGTGTATGTAGTGTGTGTGTATGTAGAGTGTGTGTATGTAGTGTGTGTGTATGTAGTGTGT